CAACCCATGATCACGCACCCATGCACACCACATATATCGATACCTCTCCTTAATCTCGGAACATAAAGTTCATATTTTTGGATGAAATTAATCTAACTCATTCTAAGGGAAGAGGCATAACGCAGGGTGCAGAGACTACACAATCAACAAAGCAGTCCAACGTATCATAACAAACATTCGTACAGAGTTTTATTCAGTATGACTAGTTCTATTTTACTGAGAATTGGATCATAATATATGTTGGGAGACACTCACTAAATAGATGAAAAAGAAAAGAAAAAAAATTAAGCAGGGACACCAGCAGATTCAAATATAATTAGTAAAGATGGATTGGTAGCCGAGGTTCGACTATTGCAAGAAGTGGGAACTTCCGAGATGTTATCAATCCATAAACCTCCTCCATGTCCAAATCTTCTGTTTTCATATTCTCAGGCAATTTCCAATTGAACCCATGTAACATGTTGGCCAAGCAAGACCTTATCACTTTCAGTCCAAGACTATAACCAGGGCACATCCTCCTTCCTGAGCCAAATGGCAAGAACTCAAAACTCTGTCCCTTCACATCAATTGCCTTCCCTAAGAACCTCTCAGGCCTAAACTCATCAGGTGCATCCCACAGCGTGGGATCTCTCCCCATGCTCCATGCGTTCACAAACACTATAGTTCCTTTGTAAATATCATAGCCTGCCACATTGCAATCTTCAAGAGCTAGACGTGGTGGTAGCATTGCCACTACAGGGTGCTTCCTCATGGTCTCTTTCATAATTGCATCTATATAGGGAAGGTTCTCGAGGTCTTTCTCTTCCACCCATCTCTCCTTCCCAATCACTCTGTCAAGCTCTTCTGTTGCCTTTTTTATGAGGTTTGGTTGTTTTACGAGTTCAGACATTGTCCACTCCAAAATGTTTGCAGACGTATCACTGCCTCCAGTTATCAAGTCCTGGTTTTAATTTGAATGAACAAAATGAATCAATTATGTTTATATCTTTATGCTGTGTCTTTTACATATCTTATTAGGAGAAAAATTTTGTTTTAACGGACTACTGTGTGGTACATTTGTATATATTCACAGTCCGACAACATAAGTTTAGCCAAAGAACATTACCCTAATTTTTGGAAATTTAATAAGAAATAATAAATTTAAGAAGCACATACCTGAGTGAGTGCCTTGACACTGTCATAAGTGAGCTTAACTTCAAGATCATTAGGGTCATCAGCCAGCCGCAACAGTAAATCCACCATGTCCCCTGCCACAAATTTCTCCACTCCTTCCTTCCTTGCCTTGTGTTCATCAAGCACAAACTCATAAAAGCGGTCCAATTTTTTCGTTAAGGCCTTCATTCGCTTTACATACCCTTGCAAGTCCAAAAAATTAAGCCAGGGTATCCAATCCCCTATGTTGAATACCCCGCTAAGCAAGAACAACTCATCTGATGTGTCCTGAAATTCTTTGAATGACATTATTGAACTCTCAAATTTGGACATGCCAAAGTACTCCTTCCCGAACACAATTCTGCTCATAATGCTAAGAGTAAGGCGTGACAGATGCTCTTTGAGCACAACTGCCTTCCCTGACAAGGCATAGAGTCGTGAAATAAAAGCACGATTTTCCTCAACCCGAATGTATTGAAAAGACTCTAATTTTTTCGAGCTAAACAGCTCCGTCAGAAAAATTTTGCGGGCTTGACGCCAATATGGACCATAAGGTGCCCAAGTGACATTGAGGTAGCCATAAGTGAGGTACTTGCCTACTGCAGTTTGAGGCCTAGAGGCAAAGATGTGATCATGTGTCTTTAAAAATTGTTTTGCCATTTCTGGAGATGAGGCAATTACAACTGGGTAGGAGCCAAATTTGAGCTGCATTATTGGTCCATAAGTTTGGGACAATTTGTGAAAGGATTGATTAGGCAGACGACCAATGAGGTTGAGGTTGCCAATTATAGGCCATGGTTTGGGGCCTGGTGGAAGGTTTGGGCGTTTGGGAAAGAGAATTTTGGAGAGAAGGGCCAGAGCAGCTACCAGTGCAAGGGTTATAACAGTCCAAGAAAAAGCCTCCATTAATATGCGAGTTGTGGCTGTAATGGTGACTGATCTTGCAGGTAATTTATAGTTGAAGCTAGCGAGTAGGTAGTTTGATTTGTGTCTACTAAAGAATCACGTTATAAATGAGTTCTAGTGAAACCATATGCATGTGTATTTACACATTAATCTCATTATAAATGTTTTTCTTTTATAAAAGGAAAGAGTTTTTCTATTTAAACTTCACACGTTTCTTTGTTCACCCCAATACTTAAATCATTAAGCTCTTAAGTTTTATTATTGTGTAAAAAGACAAAAAAGGTCATCTAACTTAATACTTAACCCTAATACATCTATACACACACCTCCACACACCCGGCCACTTGGAAGAATTCAAATTCAATTTGAGTTTCCTAAGCGGCTGGTATAACAGTCATCCTCACACCCATGGACTGAATCAAACTCTTATATGTCCCTTCCCTTGAAAAAAAAAACCAAAAAAGTCAATTTGAGTTTATTCTATGAATTGGCTTAGATATCTTGAAGACTATGTGAAAGACTAAAGTTAGGATGGCCACATGCAGAAGGGTGATTGATGATACAAAATTAAAAGCTTTGATGACTATGAAGTGTGATTGCTGAAAATAAAACCAAAACCTCTTTGGAATTTTAATAATAAATAAAATAAAACCAAAACATCTAATACAACTTAATAATAATAATAAAATAATGATGTTACACATTTGACAACAGTGTTTTTATCTCGCTAAGTAATGTGAGGTTGAGCTGAACTTAGAGTAGTGAGAGGCAAGATAGCGGGGTGTGAGGTGTGGGGTTGATGAGTTTTTTTTTATTTTTTTGCCAGGTGTGTGTTTATTTTAAAGGTAGTTTGGGAAGATAGTGGGGTTTTCTTAAAAATTGTGAAAATTTGAATTAGAAGTTGGGGTGAACAAAGAGAAGTGTGAGGTTTAAATAGAAAAACTCAAAGGAAATGCCCCAACAATCAGAAACTGTTGCTTTACTCACTGATTAGGGTTGATTTTCGAACATATCGGATTGGAATTAGGGTTCCAATTCCATTCCAAAAAAAATTCAGAATTTCAACATCCATTCCAATTCGAAAAACTCGGAATTTTCGGAAACTTTTGGAAATTACATTTATTGGAATATTTTTGGAAAGTTTCGGAAAATCATTAAAAAAAATTGGGAGACTTTGGAAAACACAAAGGAGAGAGAAATTTTGTAAAAGAAGCCAAAATGGACAAAATTACCCTTATTTATTTTTGGATTTCCTAAGGAATCCTTTACATTTGCATGTCTTTAATTTGAAAGTTGAGAGGTTTTTCTGTCTTTTTTGAAAAAGGTTTGGCTTTTTCCAAAAGTGAAAAAAAAAATTTGGCCAAAACCTAAATTTACTTAAAAAATTTAAACATGTCTAACAATTTGAGAGGTTAAAATTGGCTCAAATTTGAAAAAATCATACGAAAATCTAGAAAAACTATTGTATGCTATCACTCATATGTTGTTATCCTTTATGAAATAGCTCGTCTATGTCTATTTGGTCATTAAGTCATATGAAATTCAACATGAACCTAGTCATTATGTGTAATCTAAGCTTGAATCCTCAATATATTTCTTAATTCGGAATCTTGAAATACATTCCAATTCCAATCCTTTTTTTTTTTTTGGAATTTTCGAATTTCAAAACTTTCATATGTCGGAATTAATTTGGACTCACCAAAATCTTGAAATACCATGCGCTAATCTCCATCTTGATGTTAATTTCTCCATAAAACTGTTTCCACTTTGCTTACATGGATGCATGGGATGGGATGTTTATAAAATTGCTTGCATATTCCACGGGTACCCAACTTCCAGATTGGGTCAAGAAGTTTTATTTATTTATTTATTGTACAGAGAAAGCAAAGCAGAAAAGAAAAGGAAAAAATTTGTAGCAAGAACATTGCAGATTCGCATATGATATGATCAATAAAAGATGGATTGGGAGCCGAGGCCCATGACTGCAACAAGAGGGGAAAATACTACTGAATCAAGAGTTAATTGGTTAAATTCTTCGAATTTTCTTTTTATAAATAATGTAGTTGTCGAATATTATTGTTTTGTTTTCCGAGTTTTTGCTTAGTGATTGCCGAAATAACTTAATCTATGAGGTCAACATTAACATGGGTGAGTATAGATTTATGTGCCAACCCAGATTCAACAATATCAGATGTTAATATACTAATGCACTCTGATATTGCCTATTGTTGACTTCAAAAATCTAAGGTAAAAAAAGACAGATGCAACATCGAAGAGAGGTTGCAACTTGGATCACTAGTGTTTCCTAAAGCTTCAATAGTGTTGAGAGTGTTTGTTTCACATTGAAATGTTAAGGGACCTAACCTAATCTGAGTTTATAAGGAGTTGGACTACTCCCCTCATGGTTGAGTTAGAACCTTAACTTCCTTCATGGTATCAGAGCAAGGCTTAACGTGTTGGGCCCAACGGCCACACGTGCTCCCACGTCACTCAATATGTGTTGTCCACGTGTTAGGCTTGAAAATTCACCACACGTGCGGGAGCGTGTTGAGAGTGTTTATTCCACATTGAAATGTTAAGGGACCTAGCCTGAGTTTATAAGGAGTTGAACTACTCCTCTCATAGTCAATTGGTTTTGAGGTATAGCCTTAAAATTCAATCAATCTGCATTGGCAATAACAAAATAACGCTAATTTCAACAATAGTAATAGTAGCATGTGCTAATCTCCATCTTAATGTTAATTTCTCCATAAAACTATTTCAACTTCGCTTAAACGGATGCATGGGATGGGATGTTTATAAAATTGCACGCATCAACTTTTCTGAATAAAATACACATATCCAGATCCAGATTGGGGCAATAAGTTTTTTTTAATTGTACAGAGAAAGCAAAAAAGAAAAAGAGGAAAAAAAAAAAAAAAAAAAAAAAAAAAATGAAAAAAAAAAAAAAAAAAAAAAAAACTGTAGCAAGAACATTGCAGATTCACATACGATATGATCAATAAAGATGGATTGGGAGCCGAGGCTCCATGACTGCAACAAGAGGGAACTTCCTTGGTGTTGACAATCCAGCAACTTCCTCCATGCTCAAATCTTCTGGTTTTATATTCTCAGGCAATTTCCAATTAAACCCATGTAACATGTTAGCCAAGCTGCACCTAATCATTTTTAGTCCGAGGCCATAACCAGGGCACATCCTCCTTCCTGAGCCAAATGGCAGCAGCTCAAAACTCTGACCCTTCACATCAATTGCCTTCCCTAAGAACCTCTCTGGGTTGAACTCTTCTGGTGCATCCCATAGTGAAGGGTCTCTCCCTATGCTCCATGTGTTTATGAACACTCTAGTTCCTTTACAAATATCATAACCTTCCACTTTGCAATCGTCAAGAGCTAGATGTGGTGCAAGCATTGCAACCACAGGGTGCTTCCTCATTGTCTCTTTCATAATTGCATCTATATAAGGAAGGTTTTCGAGGTCTTTCTCTTCCACCCATCTCTCTCTCCCAATTACTCTGTCAAGCTCTTCGGTTGCCTTTTCGATGAGGTGTGGTTGTCTTATGAGTTCAGACATTGCCCACTCCAAATTGGTAGCAGAGGTATCTGTGCCCCCTGCTATTAAATCCTGTTTTTCAATCAAAAAAATGGGACAAAATGTGTTTCATATGATCATGTTTCTTTTACCACAACCTATTTTTGTCACGCAAAAAAATAAGTAAAGCAAATAAACTGAATGTTTTGGATAGTACCTGAGTGAATCCCTTGACACTGTCACGGTTGAGCTTAACTTCAAGATCAGGATCATCAACCAGCTGCAACAGTAAGTCCACCATATCTTTTGGCACAAAATTTGTCTCTTCTTTCTTCCTTGCCTTGTGTTCATCCAATATATAATCATGGAAGAGATCAAATTTTTTCTTTAAGGCCTTCATTTGCTTTACGTATCCTTGTAAGTCGAAAAATTTAAGCCATGGTATCCAATCCCCAATATTTAACACCCCACTAAGACACACCAACTCATCTAACATGTCCTGAAATTCTCCCAGTGTCACTGTGGAAGTCACAAACTGAGACTCACTAAAATACTCCTTACCTAACACAATCCTGCTCACAGTGCTAAGAGTTAGCCTTGAGATATGCTCTTTAAGAATGACTGGCTTACCTGACAAGGCATAGAATCGCGATGTAAAAGCGCGAATTTCCTCGACACGAATGTACTCAAAAGACGCTAGTCTTTTTGAGCTAAATAGCTCGGACATGAAAATTTTTCTCCCTTGACGCCAATATGGACCAAAAGGTGCCCAAGTGATGTTTCTGTAGTTGTAAGTGAGGTATTTGCCAGCTGCAGTTTGAGGTCTAGAGGCAAAGACATGATCATGCGTCTTCAGAAACTGTTTTGCCATTTCTGCTGATGAGGCAATCACCACTGGATAGGAGCCAAACTTAAGCTGCATTAAGGGTCCATAAGTTTGAGATAATTTGTGAAGGCATTGATGTGGGAGAGGTCCCATGAGGTTAAGGTTGCCAAGTATAGGCCATGGTTTTGGACCTGGCGGAGCTTTTGGTTTGTGGCTTTGGGAAAATATAATTTTTGATAGGAAGGCCAGAGTAGCTAGACATGCCAGGGTCAAAACAACCAAAGAAGAAGAAGCCTCCATTGATGTGGGTTGTGGTGTAATGGTGAGAATTTGAGGTGATCTTGCATGTATTTATAATGCATATGTATGTACATGATGATATACTTGTTGACCATTTTTAGTCTTGATATTATTCTCGTGGGAAATTTTTTATGTCTCAACTTTAACTCGATATACCCTACACTCATGTAAATGAGGTGGAGTTTAAATAAGCAGGTAGGTGTGAACAAATTGTAGGGTATGGTATATGTATAGAATTTCCCTATTCTTATTATTTTATTTAGGGAGAATAATGGGATGCTATTGGATATCAATTTATAATACCCCATACATTGTCCATAGTTTTTCCCAAAAAAGAAAAATATTGTCCATACTCCATAGTTTGTCTATATTACCAATTTACCAAATATCGATGAAATAACAACTAAATTAACATACGAATTCGGTGTTTATTTAAAGGGAGTCATGCTAGAGAAACCATATTTTATATATCATCAATATAATGGATCTCACTTTTATTAGAATGTTGTGCACAAAGTGGTCTCTCTAGTATTTTTCTTAATTAAATACTATGTGTGTAAATCAGGTATTCTTCCCCTATATGACGTGTGGTTCTCCAGGGTTGGAATGTATTTCGTGGAAGATTTGCACACTAAGAACAACTATCATAATATGAGCAAATTGGGGCTGATCCCAATGGAGGCCCCTCCAATGGTGAAGTCAGGTATGATAATAGGGTAGAGAGAATGTATATAGGGTTTACTTAGTGAGAATAGTTATTACCTTCGTCCAGAGATAGGTGGAGGGTATTTACAAGAGGGACAAAGTAAAGATATTTGTAAGGAGGTCTTCCCCCCTTTCTCCTCTGGTATGGGTTTCATTAAATGACCGCCATGCTTACTGTACATAAGTCAGGTGGCGAAGCGACCAATGACCAAGGATGGAAGGTGCAATAAATGATCCCTCTCCATCATCAGTCCTGTTCACCCAGGTTTTAGAGGGTGAGGCAACACTTAGTCCAGGATGGGATGTGCCTTAATTGACCTTTCCCCTCACATCAGGCTGTTTATCATAAAGGTAAGAGTTGACAAGGGTCTTGGTCAATAAAAGGGAACCTTCATCAAAGGAAATCATCTCATCATCAACGCAATCATCTGCAATCTCTCATCAAAGTCAATCTTGATCTTTGCCTTCCTGTCATAGCTGATCTGGATTGATTCTCTTCATCAATCCCATTGTATTTACCTTATCTAGACAACCTGGATTGATTCTCTACATCAATCCTGTTATATTTACCTTATTTAGATATTATCAATTTGTATATAATAGTCATTCCGTGTATCAATCAGACATCAATGAAATATACTATTCATTCTTAATATCCTTATGGTATCACAGCCCTAAGGCTCCAACGAGCATCCTCTGTTCCTTTTTTTTTTCTTTCCTCTTCCAGCAGTCTATACTCATGGCTCCTCAATCCTCTGATATATCCACCCCAATCATCACCAACACCAACTCCAACACCATATCCTCCCTAATCACCATCAACGCTGCTGCACAACTTCCCGTCAAGCTTACCCCTACAAATTACCCATCTTGGCGTGCCCAGTTTAACGCCCTCCTTATTGGCTATGACCTCCTGGGCTATGTGGATGGTTCTTCTACATGCCCACCAGACACTCCAGCCGCGCCTCGCGCCCTTTGGATTCGTCAGGACCAGCTGCTCCTCCATGCCATTCTTGCATCCGTATCACCGCAAGTAATATCCCTTATTGCCTCCGCCAAGACCTCCAAGGAGGCGTGGGACAAACTGCTCCATCTCTATGCTAGCAAAGCACGTGCTCGTGTCCTTGGTCTCAAGGAACGCCTTACTCTTATGCGTCGTGAGGATAAGCCTGTCTCTCAGTATTTGCAAGATGTTAAGGTTATCGCCGATGAACTTGCCATCATCGATGTCCCCCTTTCTGATGATGATCTTCTCCTTTACATTCTCAATGGTGTTGGTTCTGAATTTAAGGAGATCGCTGCTGTTGTTCGTTCCTGTGACACCTCTATCTCATTCGAAAATCTTCATGATAAGTTGGTTGAACATGAAGCTGCCCTTACACGTGCCGACGCTCCAGTTACCACACCTGTCATCACTGCTAATGTCACTCAAAGCTCCCAGCGAGCCCCCACCAACCGTGGTTCTCGCTCCCACACCTACAATCACAATCGTGGTTCTTCTAGCTTCCGCAACAATTACCGTGGTTCCTCTGAATCCACCTCGCCCTCAACCACTGACAACGGTCGTCGTTCAAACAACACTACTGGCACTGGTTATCGTGGCTATTGTCAATGGTGTGGTACACAAGGTCATAGTGCCAAACGTTGTCCCCAGCTTCAATCTGGCTCCCAAAGTCAGCCAGTGGTCAATTCTACCTACCATGGCCGCCACAATGCCTCTCCCACATGGTTGCTTGATTCCGGTGCTTCTCACCATGTTACCTCCAAAGTCACCAATCTCTCCGATGTCTCCACATATGCTGGCCCTGATGAAATAATTATTGGTAATGGTTCAGGTTTGGGTATAACTCATGTCGGTTCATCCTCTCTCACTACCCCCTCCTCCAAAACCTTTGCCTTATCTAATGTTCTTTGTGTTCCTTCCATTAAGCAAGATATTATTTCTATTTCCAAATTTAACAAACAAAATAATACGTCTATTGAACTTTTTCCTGATTTCTTTCATGTCAAGGATCTGAGCACGAGGGCGGTACTTCTTCAAGGCCCGAATAAGGACGATGTGTATGAGTGGTCCTCCCAATCCCTCCGTCAACCTCAGGCCATGGTGGGTGTGGTGGTCTCTCCAAATTTGTGGCACCGGCGTCTTGGTCATCCACATTCTAAAACTCTTCACCAAGTTCTTCGTTCCTCTTCCATTCATGTGTCCTCCAAATTGTTCGAGTCTCTTTGTCATTCATGTCAATGTAATAAGAGCCATAGGCTCCCATTTGGTACTTCTTCCCTTCAAAGCAATGGTCCGTTAGAGCTCCTTTATAGTGATGTTTGGGGCCCTGCCCCTTATTCTTCCATTGATGGCTTTTCCTACTATCTTATTTTTGTTGATCATTTTACCAAGTACATATGGCTATACCCTCTCAAAAAGAAATCAGATGTGTTTTCCACCTTCACCACCTTTAAAGCCCTTGTTGAAAATTATTTCAAAACTAAAATCATCACCTTATTTACTGATGGTGGAGGGGAATTTGTCAAACTCAAAAACTTTCTCTCTTCCGCTGGCATCTCTCATCTCATCACACCACCACATACTCCACAACACAATGGTGTTGCCGAACGACGGCATCGTCATGTTGTCGAAACCGGTCTCACCCTTCTTCATCAAGCCTCATTACCTCTTTCCTATTGGTCATATGCGTTTCAAACTGCTGTCTACCTCATAAATCGAATGCCCACTCCCATCCTTAAAAATGTCTCACCATATCAACAACTCTTTCATCAACAACCCAATTACTCATGTCTTCGTACCTTTGGATGTCTGTGTTTTCCATGGCTACGGCCTTACAACTCCAACAAGTTACTTCCTCGTTCCCGCGCGTGTCTTTTTCTTGGTTACTCCTCCAATCAAAGTGCCTACAAATGTCTTGATCTCTCATCCAATAAACTTTTTATCTCTCGTCATGTCCAATTTGATGAGTCCACTTTCCCTCTTGCTAGTGCCCATAATTCCACTTCTTCTGTCCCCTCTCCTACTTCCACCTCTTGGTTTCCTCTTGCTCCTCCTGTTACTCTTATTCCTTTCCAAGCAGCCCCCATGCCACCACCATCGGCTACCACCTCCTCACCGACTGCACCATCCACATCGTCCTCCGCTGCCTCTTCTGCCTTGGAGCAGCTCTGCCCCCCTGCGCACATACCACCTCCAGCCCCTACTGTCTCTCCACTTCCGCCACAAAACCCATCCTCCTCTAACCCACCTCATACTACTCATACCCCTTCACAAACCATGACCCCAACCCATTTCCCTTCCAATCCGACCCCCACTGAACCAGAAACCCAACCTCCCCAGCCATCCCCTATCCGTACCTACCTCAGAAACCCAAATAGACTCGTTCTTACCTTCCCAGCCCCTGACCCATCGCCTCCCCCACCATCTTCTATCTCACAACCCTTGGTTCCCGATCACCAAATGGTGACGCGTGCCAAAGCCGGTATTAGCAAGCCCAATCCTCGGTATGCTTTAGTCGCCACCAAACATCTCATACCCTCATCCGTTGAACCGACATGTGTTTCTCAGGCCATTAAAGATCCCCTTTGGCGAGCTGCCATGTCTACTGAGTTTAATGCGCTCATTACCAATGGAACTTGGGAGCTTGTTCCATCTGACTCTAGTCAGAATCTCATTGGTTGTAAATGGGTATTTCGTATCAAACGACACCCAGATGGCACTATTGACAAGTACAAGGCCCGTTTGGTCGCCAAGGGCTTTCATCAGCGCCCCGGCGTCGATTTCTCAGAAACTTTTAGTCCAGTGGTTAAGCCCACCATCATCCGTGTTGTGTTGCATCTTGCCTTGTCTCATGGCTGGCCTATTCGTCAGTTGGATGTCAACAATGCCTTTCTTCATGGCACACTTAGTGACACTGTTTATATGTCACAACCCCCAGGTTTTGTTGATACCAACCTCACATCTCATGTTTGTAAACTCCGAAAGGCTCTTTATGGCCTTAAGCAGGCACCTCGGGCATGGTACAAGGAATTGAGCTCCTTCTTGCTCTCACAAGGCTTCCGCAATGCTACCTCTGATGCCTCCCTATTTATTTCTACCTTTGGTAGAAATGTCATTTATTTCTTGGTTTATGTTGATGACCTTATTGTTACTGGCAACAATTCTTCTCTTGTAATGCAGTTCATTGCCACATTGGCTCGCCGGTTCTCTGTCAAAGACTTGGGGTCTCTTCATTACTTCCTTGGTGTTGAGGTTATTCCCACCACGACTAGTCTCTTTCTCTCGCAACACCATTACATTCGTGATCTCCTACTCAAAGCAAAAATGGACTGTGCCAAGGAGGTCAGCACTCCATTATCTACTTCTGATAGTCTTGTGCTCAATGATGGGACTCCACCTACTGATGCTACTCGATTTCGTCAAATCATTGGTGGTCTTCAGTATCTCAACCTCACACGCCCTGACATCTCTTTTGCCGTTAATAAGCTCTCTCAATTCATGCATAAGCCTTCGGAGTCTCACTGGCAGGCCCTCAAGCATCTCCTTCGTTACTTGAAGGGCACCTTATACTTTGGTCTTCATTTGTCTCGTCGCTCATCTCATCGTCTCTATGCTTTCTCTGATGCCGATTGGGCCGGCAATCTTGATGACCGTAAGTCCACTACTGCCTATGTTGTTTATCTTGGTGGCAATCTCATCTCTTGGAGCTCTCGCAAGCAACGCTTCCACTGAAGCTGAATATCGAGCCATTGCTACCACCACTGCCGAAATTGCATGGATTCAATCCTTGTTACGTGAACTTGGCATTTCCCTTTCCGGTCCACCGCTCATTTCATGTGACAACATTGGAGCCACATTCTACTGTGCTAATCCTGTTCTCCATTCTCGCATGAAACATATTGACATTGATTTTCAGTTTGTCCGGGATCGCGTCAATAGTGGTCTTCCCTGTTCACCCAGGTTTTAGAGGGTGAGGCAACACTTAGTCCAGGATGGGATGTGCCTTAATTGACCTTTCCCCTCACATCAGGCTGTTTATCATAAAGGTAAGAGTTGACAAGGGTCTTGGTCAATAAAAGGGAACCTTCATCAAAGGAAATCATCTCATCATCAACGCAATCATCTGCAATCTCTCATCAAAGTCAACCTTGATCTTTGCCTTCCTGTCATAGCTGATCTGGATTGATTCTCTTCATCAATCCCATTGTATTTACCTTATCTAGACAACCTGGATTGATTCTCTACATCAATCCTGTTATATTTACCTTATTTAGATATTATCAATTTGTATATAATAGTCATTCCGTGTATCAATCAGACATCAATGAAATATACTATTCATTCTTAATATCCTTAAAGTCTACTGGCTATTAATGCGCCAATGGTGCTCGGGTCAGTGTCTTAGACAACCGAGTGCTTGTTCAAGTTCAGCCTCTGGTCTGTCCTATCCCTATCAGGGAGCTCCACCATACGCTCGAGTCGGTATACGAGTGTAGTGGCCACGTGGTGATTTGCAATCAGGCGCGGGTCGGAATACGAGTGATCTGGTCAGTTGTGGCCACGTGGTGGTTTGCAATCAGGTTCAGCTTGCAATGATAGTATGAGCTGTTAACAATGTGGAAGGTGAGTCTAATTAAATGCTACGTGGAAGGTGTGGCAGCAAACCCAATCTCGAGGTAATCAAATGGTGGTTTTAAAAATAGAAAATCACGTTCTGTGCAGACTCACAGGGATATGATCCAATGTAGTGTAGTGCTTTAGTTTGAAAAAAAAAAAAAAAAAAAGGTGTAGTGGTTATTAACATAGATTTATGGGCCATCCAAAATCTTTGACTGCAAATCATGTTATTATGTTAAGGAGGGTCCTCCCATTCGGATGACACAATCCATTTCTAATTTGTTTTTCACATGTTAATTATCTCCTGCTGCTAATTAAACATGTGTTTCAAAAACAAATCATGTTCTTAAACTGAGAATTCGTGTGATAACACATACTTGTACAGAAGCAAACTGGGGACCACTACTAGTACGAGAGATGCTTTGTGTTGTTTGTTATAGTTGTTTGCTTTCTGTGTTTAGTAAGAGTGTCCTGATTAATTAGCTTTAAAATAAGAATGTAGTGGTTAACAATCATTTGCATGGTTTTTATTTTTTTTATTTTTATCAAGAAGAAGATTCATAGACCTCTTCTAAAGTTCTAATACTGGGAATAGAAATACCACTTAGACTAATAACAACAAAGATTTGTAAGAAATAAAAAGAAAATGCCAACATAGAACACAAGTTGCAGAGCATTAGACTAGTGGTTGCCAATATCATTCACGTTTTACCAACTTTCTTTTTCTTAACAAACAAAAGCTAGCGCACAAACACAACAATGCAGATCACACACACAAACAAAAGCACAGAGAGAGAGAGAGAGAGAGAGAGAGAGAGAGAGAGGAAACTTGATGGCAGCGAAAGTGCCAAACCATCTGGGTTTTTCACGGGCGCTGCATCAATAATTTGACTGTGGTTGGAGGAACTGGTTAACATGGCAGACGGAGACGCTAGTCAGATGATCAGAGCCAAGTGCTTTTTTGGGTTTTGGCATCTTTAATTTGGAGTATCCATGAACATAGATAATAATTAAAATAGAAAATGGGCAAATGGATTCAAAATATTATATAGACCACTAGTTGTAGACCAGTAGACTAGTGGAAGTGGTTGGTAATATCATTCACGTTTTACCAACTCTCTTTTTAATAACAAACAAAAGCTAGCACGCAGCAGAATGCAGATCACACAAAAACAAAAGATTAAGGCTTGAAAGAGACAATATGTAATTATTTCTGATATTAAGAATCTCCCTTGGATGAAGTCAAAAAGCATGGATAACATTACAGATTCACATATACTTGGCAAAGATGTCTCCCAAGTCTTGAAAGGACATTATACATGGTGTTATTTCTTAAGGTTTTGAAAGAGACAACATCACAACTTCACATATAATTAATAAAGATGGGTTGGGAGCCGAGGCTCCATGACTGCTCAAGTCTTCTGTTTTCATATTCTCAGGCAATTTCCAGTTAAATCCTTGTAACAAGTTAGCCAAGCTAGACCTTATCATTTTAAGTCCAAGGCTATAACCAGGGCACATCCTTCTTCCTGAGCCAAATGGAAGCAGTTCAAAACTCTGCCCCTTCACATCAATGGCCTTCCCTAAGAACCTATCAGGCCTAAACTCATCTGGTGCATCCCATAGTGAAGGGTCTCTCCCCATGCTCCATTTGTTTATGAACACTCTAGTTCCTTTGCAAATATCATAACCACCCGCATTGCAATCTTCAAGAGCTAGATGTGGAGCTAGCATTACAGCAACTGGGTGCTTCCTCATGTCTCTTTCATAATTGCATCTACATAAGGAAGTTGTTCAAGTCTCTCTCTTCTACCCATCTGTTGCTCTCAATTACTCTGTCAACCTCTTCGGTTGCCTTTGCGATGAGGTGTGGTTGCTTTAAGAGCTCAGACATTGCCCATTCCAGTGGTAGCAGAGGTATCAGTGCCTCCAGCTATTAAATCCTGATTTGAAAAATGGAATAGTTTAGATTGTAAGGGTATGAAACAATATGTGAAGATTATCAACTTTTGTGAAAAATGGAATCGCTGAAGAACATGATTAAAAAACCTTTTGAAATCAGAGCTAATAATTTATCAGTTGATAATTTCAAAAGGTTTTTTTATGCACCTCATGACATTGTTCATGGTCCCAACTTTTGTGAATGTTAATTGCATGCAGATTGGGCTCAAGAATTTGTCTTTTTGTATTCTGAAAACAATGGCACTCATAAGCAAAACCATACTCATGAAAGAACACAAGACTTGAAACAGACATTAAGAATCTGACTTGGATGAAGAAAAGAAGATACTGTTTCATTCACAAAGTGTAAAATCAGTAAGGGATTATTGATTACATTGAGGCATTATTATTTAATGGCCGACAGTCTAAAGCTTGCAAGGACATTACAGATTCACATGTAATTAATAAAGATGGGCAGGGAGCCGGGGCTCCACAACTGCAACAAGTGGGAACTTCCGAAGTGTGGCCAATCCGAAAACTTCCTCCATGCTCAAATCTTCTGGTTTCATATTGCCAGGTAATTTCCAATTAAATCCATGTAACAAGTTAGCCAAACTAGACCTTATCATTTTCAGTCCAAGGCTATAACCAGGGCACATCCTCCTCCCTGAGCCAAATGGCAGGAGCTCAAAGTTTTGTCCCTTCACATCAATTGACTTCCCTAAGAATCTATCGGGGTTGAACTCATCTGGTGCATCCCATTGTGAAGGATCTCTCCCCATGCTCCATGTGTTTATGAACACTCTAGTTCCTTTGCAAATATCATAACCTCCCACATTGCAATCTTCAAGAGCTAGACGTGGAGCTAGCATTACAGCAACTGGGTGCTTCCTCATTGTCTCTTTCATAATTGCATCTATGTAAGGAAGTTGTGGGATGTCTTTCTCTTCTACCCATCTCCCTCTCCCAATCACTCTGTCGAGCTCTTCGGTTGCCTTTTCGATGAGGTGTGGTTGTTTCATGAGCTCAGACATTGCCCACTCCACAGTGGTTGCAGAGGTATCAGTTCCTCCTGCTATTAAATCCTAATACAAAATGGAACAGTTCACATTGAGGTTTAGAGTGGGACCAAATTTAAATTAAGATTTTTTAAAAAAAAATCATCACGTCATGTGATGAATAAAATTTGGTAAATAAATTTGGTGATTGTACATATAAAACATACATATCTGAGTGAATCCCTTGACACTGTCATAATTGAGCTTAACTTCAATATCTGGATCTTCAGCCAGCTGCAACAGTAAGTCCACCGTGTCCTTTGGCACAAAATCTTTAACTCCTTCCTTCTTTGCCCTGTGTTCATCAAACACATGATCGTGAAACCGGTCGAATTTTTTCTTTAAGGCCTTCATTCGTTTTACAAACCCTTGCAAGTCAAAAAACTGAACCCATGGGATCCAATCCCCTATGTTCAAAACCCCATTAAGCAAGAACAGCTCATCTAACATCTTTTGAAATTCTTCTAGTGTCACTATCGAACTCTCAGATTCGGACGTGCTAAAATACTTCTTACCCAACACAATTCTACTTATAATGGTAAGAGTTAGGCGTGACAGATGCCCTTTGAGCAGGGTTGGCTTGCCTGACAAGGCACAGAGCCGCGAGAGAAAGGCACGATTTTCCTCAACACGAATGTATTCGACAGTCTCTAGTATCTTTGAGCATGAGGTGCCCAAGTGAGATTGCTGTAGTTATAAGTTGTGTACTTACCAGCTGCAGTTTGGGGTCTAGAGGCAAAGATGTGATCATGTGTCCTCAAAAATTATTTTGCCATTTCTGCAGATGAGGCAATCACAACTGGATAGGAGCCAAACTTGAGCTGCATTATTGGTCCATAAATTTGGGACAATTTGTGAAGGGATTGATGAGGCAGAGGACCAATGAGGTTGAGGTTGCCAATTATAGGCCATGGTTTGGGGCCTGGTGGAAATTTTAGCTTCTGGGATTGGGGTAAGAAATTTTTTGAGACAAGGGCTAGAGTAGATACCAATGCCAGGGTCAAAATAGCATAAGAAATAGCCTCCATTATGGGGATTGTTGCTGTGGTAAATTGGTGAGGAATTTAGATGGGGCTTGGAGGTATTTATTTAGTACTTGAAGAATTGAAGCATGTAGATGCTAATGATATTTCTTAACCCTTTTAAATTCATTTTAATATTCCCATTTTGTTTAGACCCTTTGATATTTCTTAACCCTTTTAAATTCATTTTAATATAATTTAGCTAAATCTCTGTGTCTGTCAAGATTTGAATAATAAAACTCATTAGTCGATAAAAAAATGTGTTTAGCACTAATCTTGTGTTTGTTTAGCACTAAGCTTAGGGCTTTTTCAGTTGCTGGCCCCCAAAAATTTCAGGAGGTTATTAAAATGAAAAACCCTTTAGAAATCCAAGTCAATTTTTTTTTCAATGGGAATTGATTTATCATCTTTTCAAACAATAATACACTTAACATGTTCCATTTCAACGTGGCATTAGGAAAACCATGTATTATAATAGCTACCTACACGTCGCTTTACTCGTTTTACGGGTAAATATAAAACGTGCACTAACACTTGTCAATGGCCATCCCGTCAATCTTATCAACAGTATCTTAGTCTCTTGGTCAATGATCACGTGAAACTATCAAGTTAATCCCTATTTTCTGAGTAATTTTTGAATGTTCTAGATACACCACGTAGACAGTGTACCATCCAATAGATGGAAGACATATAGAATATTGGCAATATAGTAATTTTTGAATGTTCTAAAACTTAAATTTACTTTTTCTAATTCGGCATTCAATGGACCTTTCTTTTTCTTTTTTCACATCATAGGTGCTAGATTAATGTCATCTAAATCATTTTTTTTCTCTCTTTATGCCTAAAAAAGGTTAAGGTATTCTTTATACTAAATTTACACATATTATACAGATGCTAAGATTCAAATTCAAGATCTTGTCTGAGAGAACAATTGCTTCAAACTAGTACACTAGTGGGTCTTTTGCAAGATCGTTCGTCTTTGTTGTTCATATGACATTCGTTAATTTATGTGTCAGAGATTGGGCTTTCATGTAAACACAAAATGGGCTGATTGAGTGCTACATCAAAGAAACAAAGGTTAACTTGGCGAAGTCATTTTATAGTGAGGGTATTATATATGGCCCTTATGTAAGGTTCTATCTCTTAACCGTTATGTTATTCTAATCAATTTTATCCAACGGCTAACTAATTTAATCCAACAATAAAGAAATAGGGTCTCGCTTAAGGGCCATATATAATGCCCTCACTACAGAATTCTTGTAACTAGGCATTTTTTAAGGATGTACATGGTCTGAAGATGGTATTTGTTGAAAGCCCGTGTATCCCAAGGACCGAAGAGCTTAGTGTGAAACGCTAGTTACATCCTGGAAGCAAAGCCCATGTCCATTATGTACACAGCACAAGACCAAAAGTGTCCAACCATGCAAGCCCAATACAGAAGCATATTAAAACTCTCCTCCTCGGCCATGCAATTTTGCATTCTTGGATTAGCCGAAGCCGGGCAGAATTCACACGCTAGAAATTAAATAACTGGATATGATAAGACTTACCCATTTAATTACCATTTTGTTGGGGCTCAATATTAGCCTCAATTGTATTGTATATCTACCGGCCCATTGCAATCTACTGGCATACCTGATTAGCTGCTTGGAATGCTGAGCATGTGACCCTGTAAGACAAAAAGAAAAGACGACAAGCTAACCTAAGAGATTGTGCAATGCTGTCATGAAGAGTTAATCTGTAACAAACTGTAATTTAAGTTATTGCTGACTCGTTTTTGCAGGACGTGGAACTTCCAAGAACTACAGACCTTTCACCAGTATCGCCTCAAGTTTCTGGTGGATGTGGAGGTTTTGAAGGAGGTGGTGGTGGTGGTGGTGGGGGTGGCATCTGCTTCTTTTGAAAGCAGCTTTGAAAAGCAACTCATAGCCTGCTTTTAAAAGCTGCTGTCAAAAGGCCACTGCTTTTAAAATAATCGAGATATTTTATTTTTACCAAACACCTAAAACTGCGTAACTTTAAAGTGAAGCAGGTTTTTGACGAAAAAAAGCAATTCCAAACGGGGCCTTAATTTCCTAGAAGCTGCTATGATTTTGCTCAGAAACCAAAAGAAATTATATAAACTCATAGCTTTTAAACTCCACACCACAACACAAATGGAAACTCATAGCTTTTAAACTCATCCTTCTTCTTTCCTAAAACATTCAGAAAATCAAAAACGCTCTCCTTCTCTCTCTTTTGTATATTTTTTTTACCAGATCTTTCAAAATTTGAAGTTTTGAGGGTTGGGTGGGGAGAAGGAATGGCGAGGGACAAAAGCATAGACATAGTCATGAAGCATAAACGTCAACGACGGAGACACAAGGGAAAGGAAGGTGGTGATGGTGGCCGCCGCCGAGGTAACGGCAACGGCTGCTACCGTCTTATGATTGGCTTTTTTAAGCACTTCCTTCTTGTCCTCTTGTTGCTGTTTCTTCTTTACGTTTGGCAGCTGATTTTTGGCGATCAGTAACAGTAACAATTCATCACGAGGTAGGTGAGTAATCGACGCTGACACTCCATGCAAAGGATATATGCACCTTATTAGCCGTTTGATGAGATTGGTAAGCAAGCAAATGTTTTGTTTATCAACGGCTGAGATTTCGATATCAATTGCCGTAGTGGGTGGATGGAGCTCCATGCAATTGATTTTTATAGCAATGTTTCGTTAATTTTAGCATACAATATTGTGTATTTTTGTTCTTTCTTTCTGTTTTGGGATCCTTGTTGATCATAGGAAAAGAAAATTGTACATGTTTGATCAAAGTTAGGAACTTTTCTTTTGGTGAGGCAAACAAGTTATATCACCAAAGACAAAGTTGAATTCAGTCTGAATGTGACCGGCATGAGACTTGGAATTGGAAGCATCATCTAAAATTTGTATACACTAGTCAAAGCAATTGAACTGGTCTAAGTCGCACATGAATATGATAGGTTGACTTCAGTATTTTGGCCATGTGAGATGTGACCATCGGTGACCACCCCAGACTCTGTCATGAAAAATAATTTGCATCATAATTCTTGTAAAAGTAACATTCATATATGGAGAAAAAGTTCATCCTATTTGAAATGACAGATTGACAGTATCTTAAACCAATCACGTATTATAATATGTAAAAATTCAAATACATGGCGCTGTGTGATTGATTTATGATGATGTTAGAAGACATATCAGGTAGAAAAAAGTTGTTCTCAATTATAAGAGTGCAATTTTTCTAACTATGGGCTACGTAACACAAAAGCCTCCTCCTCTCTCCTCTTTTTTTTTTTTTCTTGTTATGAAAGTGAAGAAAGATGAAGATATTGCTTTCAGCTAGTTTGTTTTGGGCTGCAATAACACAATATTTGGGCTATAACATATGAATACCACTAGGAAAGGCTATAATGAGGGCTTAAAGTGAGGAGATTATTTGAGGAGGTCAAATCTCACCATCAACAAATGTAAAGAAATCATGGGACTTAAATATTTTAAATGTTTTGACGGTCGGATCGGTCTCCTCACTTTAACTCCTCACTTTAACTCCTCATTGTAGAAGCTCCCGGCCTCGAGTGTTCTTGCAACCTGAAGAGTAACCCAGCCTACCATGGGCTACAAAAGACAGGACCCAAAACCCCATTGCTTTTAGCCTGACCCACTTTCCACTTTCCCTTTTTTCCATAGCAAAGCAGCTTCAGACTATTCTATTTTATTTAAATTAACAACACAAATCAAGGGGGTCTAGCCTAGTGAAAAAAGGTCATGATTTGCTGACCAGTAATTTCAAGTTCGAATCTCCTTTCACCTAGGTAGTGTGCAGTAACTATTGTTTGTATTAAAAAATAAACACACAATGAACTCTGAGTTGTGTCAAAAACTAAACGTCACTCAAATGAACGAGTGTCTTCCCTTTTGATGTGGAAAACTTTGGTCAAAGTATAACAGGCAATATAAACAAAGTAACATCACTTGTAATTTTTTTTTTTTTTAAAAAAAAAACCTTCTTACCTTAAAGTCCCTGGATTATTCAGAATAAAGGAAAAAAACTCTGTTCCCTTCCCCAACAAATATCAACGGGGATTTTCTTAAAAGCTCAGATAACAAAATGTTGTATAGATCAGCTGAAAAGCATATCAGAATTTCTGAAATACTTTGACAGCAGCTTTCAACAACCAATGTTGTTGTTGTAAGTAACTTGTATGGATTGGAGATAGAAGAGCAGAAGAAACAGAGCATCTCTGCATGTGCAAACTCTCACAAGCTGCCAAGAAGAAACAGGAAGGGAACTTTCTGATTCCTACACACACTTTTATACAAGGCAGGCACACCTCATTTTTCATTGGTTTACACACCCTTTAAGAAGGCACACCTACAGAGGGATATGATTACGTTTCTTCTTCTTTTTTAATGATAATGAACCCATGAACTTCTTAGTGAGAATCTTTCTTTTTCATCACCCAGTCTCAGTTATTTATTGCCCCAAACTTAGGACAAAGGAACTCCAAAAATTTATCCAAGCATGAGATTGGAAATTATTATAAAAGTTGAACCGCATTTGAAATTTTCCATCATGCACACTCCTGGGAGTGGAACTGGACCTCATTGTGCTAGCTAGGTGGTTGAACTATTTTGTCATGGTGCTTTGTGCTTTAACTATTTTGTCACTTAATAAAACTTCCACAGGCTTGTAGACGAGAGTAACATCTAAATTATTCGCGCAAGGAGTTTGAAGTAGCTCAAGTGGTTAAGAGTATTTATCCATGTACTCCAAATATTAAATTTAATTCCCTTCTCGCTAGATCGCTTGTTTAAAAAAGAAATATGTAAGCATTTTTCATTCATATAACGGCAGCCTTTGTTCCCTACTTTAGATATTTGAAGTTCCACTTGAAATTAAAAACATATTGGGTTGGGGACCTTTTAATTGTTGTACTGGCACCAAAAGAAGCACTATAAAGAAGTGGGGAAAAGTTCTTGCTCCACACAAAAG